ATCGGATCGCAGCGAATTTACACTCGCACACCCCGATTGCAATTTCTTACCTGAATGCGACGCTAATTCAGGCACAACGACAGTCCTGTTCGTCGCCGAACTTGTTTGTCCAAGATGAATATGAATATTTTCTAATACGCTTTGCAATTCGACATGCGTCGGACACGAGCTGAAGTGAAAGCCAATCGCGTGCATTGTACTCCGAACGAAAAATCCGCGTCGAAGATCGCGCGGAATTACGTAAAAGAAATTCATTTTCACGCGAATATTATCGAAGTATTACGCATGAACTCGTAGGAGCGCGATTAGTTCGCAGAACAGAGAAAAAAGAAAGAGAGAGAGAAGCCGTAAGATTAATTGTTTTCTACCTTCGCGTCGGTCTTTTACCTAACTTTTGCGCGATTGCGTAAGCGCGAAAGGGTAATGTCAAACATCACTGACACAAAAACCCGCGGGGCACCGAGAGGAGCGCAAAGTGCTTTCATTTTTTAACCACCGGGCCGCAGTCGGAATTTCGATACGTAAATTCGTAAGTATCTCTTTCGTTTATATTTAAGTCGTCAATCACCGCGCACGGTTAAGTAACTCGGCCTCAATTTGAACACCATCGATCATGAAAATTATTATAAACACCATCGAAAGCTGTGAATAATTTCCAAGATAATAGGAGTCTATATCACAGATAATAGATCGTGTCCTCCTCTTCGATCAAATCCGCTCTCGATAAGAAGAAAAAGAAGAAAAAAGAAAAGAAGGAAACTAAAACGTCTCAAGAGTGGGTTATCTGGATCGGGATTGCTTTATCTACGCTACAAATCATATCGCTTCTTTTGGCACAGCGGTCAACGGTGCGACAGATCCTTCAGCAGGGATAATCAAGGACGAAGAAGCAGGAAATCAATCGAGACGAAATGAAAGAGAGGAAAATCAAAGCTCCATATAAGCGCGCGATAACCCGCCGTACACGACGAATCTGCGAATGAACGCGCAACAGCCAGCCAGTTTTGCATGTCCGTTCGCTCTCGCGGCCGCGGTTACATGCTTCACAGTCGCGGTAACTTTCTTCGTGCAAGCGGCAACGAGTTTCCATGTGCGGCGACGACGTCGGCCAGCGGTGTGATGAACGCCCTCGCAAGCGTAAACCCGCAATGATCACCGGTGATTCACTCCGATCTTCGTCTACGAGCGACTACTAGCCGCGCGTCTTTTCTCGGCAACTATTTGACCTCTTTAACCTGGTAGCGTACATTTCAGCCTGGCGATCAAAGAGCGCTGGGTTCTCTCCTTTTTACTTCCCGCCTCCTCTCCCGTGCCCCCTGCCTCCCTCTCTCTCTCTCTCTCTCTCTTTCTCTCTCTCTCTCTCTCTCTTTCTCTTAACGCGTCTTAGCGTACAGGAAACGCGAGGTGGCGATGAACGGCCCCGACGCTTTTCCTGCTTTCTCTGCACTTCCTCTCACCTTCTGTATCCTTTATGATTCTCTCTCTCTCTCTCTCTCTCTCTCTCTCTCTCTCTCTGTCTCCGAAGTGTGCCCCTCTGACGTTTTCGTTCGCCTCGTTAAGCGCATTGCATCATAATCTCGCGCTGCGCTAAATACATCGGAAACTTTACCTTGAATCGATCGGACTCGAGTACGACCGCGAGAAGTACCGGAAGAAACACGCGGAAGCGCGCAGTCAAGACGCCGTAATACGTATGCGCGTTAATTAGAAGCAGAAACAAACACTTCATGCACATACGAAAGTCACGGCTACATAATGGCGTATGATTTGCTCGCTTTTCTGCGGTTCTATCGCGTAATGCGATCAGGTCGTAACGACGGAGCGCGCCGGAGAAAGCGCTAAGAACCTTCGGCCGTCGCTCTCGCGGAATCCGTCGCGCGAGAGGATAAATTCCATAATTATCGACGTCGGAGGACATTGTCATCGAGAGATGAAAATTCGCTTCTTAGAAGGAAGACGGGTTTATTTATCAATTAAGACACAGCCGACCGATTGGAACCGATTCGGCTTGCAACGCAGATAACGCGTGAGACCGCGTCGCGAAGAGAATCGTCTCGGATTCAAACGCAAGTCTCCTCTTTCGAGTTCGCGTTGCTCCTCGACTACTTGCGCCGTCACGTGCGCCAACAGTTAACAGGTTAAGATCGATTTATCGGCGAAATTGCGCGAAACAGACACGCGCGTCTCTTCGCTGGACCTCCCGAGGCGGCCTTGGCGGCCGGAAGCTCGTGAACCGCCAAGGAAAAATTTCCTACGTGCATAAACCGGTGAGGGAGGGAATGGGTTAGAGGGGAGGGGGCCACAATAAAACGCGTAAACGAGTGAGCCATCCCACGTGTTTCGACCGCGATGCATACGATTCCCCCCCGCGTGGATATCCCACGAGGCCGCATTCCGCCTGTCTCGCATTCAATGGACGGTGTTCTTATGCGGAACGTGTAGATTCGCGAATATACGCGCGGTGCGTCATCCCGCCGAGTCGTCTCTCTCGGTTATTATTATTACGGTGCGCGCTCGCGTACCGTATTTAGCGCGAAATGGTGGGCGCTTGGTTTTATCTTTCGCTTTATCTAACGTGGACATTGTATGTATGCGGTATTATTGCGCCGCTCGGCCGGCGTATCAGATGGCCGCGTCTCTCTAACGCGGAATGTGCCATGAATCCGCAAGGAGACGTGCAATTATCGAAAACAGCGAGATTGAATTCAGCGAGACTGCACAATCGTAACCGAGAATTGTCGCGCACGTAAGATTTTCCAGATTGATGGTTATCCAAAGAAACAGAGTCACTTTACTCGCAAGGTACGAGAGAGTATAAATAATAAAGTCCAATAAATGAAGGAAAAATTGATCAATTCCGCGCTGCAAATCCGAATGAATATTTTCAATCGAAATTTATATTTTTTACGGATTCATAAAAAATAGATAAGTCGATAAAAATAATCGGATAGAGATAGATTTATAAGACAAGTGGACAAGAGATGGGATAAACTTTTATATTTTCTCGCGAAGTAGAAGAGTAAATCTATTGTCTATCGTTACAGGAACAAATTCACTCAAATCGATTGAAACATTCGCTTCCTAATTAAACGTTCATTTACTTTCATCGTCGTTTCATGCGAATTTTCATTTATTCTGATTTCACTCCGCGAAATTTAGAGTACAAACTCAAGACGACAGCACGTAATCGCACGTAGAGCCGGTTAAGGATTTTATCGCAATTTACCGCTCTCCCGCCGTTCGGCGTTCTCTTATTAATTTCTTTAATTGCTTGCGAAACGCTCTCCCAGTTCGGCGTTCTCTTATTAATTTCATTAATTGCTTGCGCTTCGCCCGGCCGCCAGGTAGGTATAGGTGACGTGTGAGGAATCGAGATTTACATTTTATACCTCGTAGTCGCTGTTGGTGGTCCGACGCAGGCGCTTGAATTGCGATTTGCACAGAATACCCACAGCATCGTTGTCCTTCGTCCTCCGTCGCGCGGCGGATTCGGTATCGATTGCGTCGCGCTATCTTCCTGCGCGCCAATTTATACGTTCAGGCGGTGATTTAACGCAACGTCTCGACCCTAACGTAACATTCTCGCACGACGTTCTGTATCGTGCGCTTCTCGAGCTGTTATTTACAGTCGTGCCGGGCTGTCCTCCTCTAAGTCGCGATAAACCGGCGTTTATATTACGTCTCGAAGAAGTGCGTCGTTGCGTTTTATCCCCATGCCCTACGCCGCGCGGAGATGAGACACCCATAAAACCGCGTGGTTGTGGTTGTGCGGTTCGAGTATCAGTGTCTTACACTCGCTGTGCTGTCTCCCTCTCCCTCTGCCTCTCCTTCCCTTTCTCTCTCTCTCTCTCTCTCTCTCTCTCTCTTTAGTTCACTAAAAGAAAGTTTTACATCCTGTCTTCCTTGATTTCTGCGAATTTTGCATATCACGTATTTTCCACATCGAATATACTTCAGTGCGGATCATTCGCGCGCCTCTTCTTACGTGTCCGCATTCACTTCTCCGCCGAAGAATTATTATTTTTCGATCTACCAATTTTGTACATTCACATTTTCCCTTTTCGCATGTCTCTCCGCGTTTCCTTCGCAATTCCGGAGAAGCCGAATTGTCGAGAGACAATCTCCTGTAATATGATTTTACCAAAATATCTGGATTATCTCATTGGACAGCAGGGCGTGTTAATATCTACTCATTTGACTACAAAAGTATACTCGAGTGAACAGATATCAATGCGTCTGAGCGTTTTCGGGAAAATAATTCCTCCCCAGAACAATTGTGTTCCTCAGGAAAAATGATATCTCGGAATATTTGTCAGTGGTATTCGTACTTTTGTACTCTGACTTTTCGGAAAATTACTCGAATTTTGAAATTTGACTTCTCAGAACCACGCGTGTCCACCGGCTGGCAAACAGTTTCCTTTTTTCATGTACAAATCAGATGCATCCACTTTTTTTCCCCGATTGTGTCGGACATCCATCTTCTCCTCTCGCACGCGACGCGATGCGACGATTGTGCGAGACGACTCATTCGCGATTCTCGCGGCGCGACGATTCATTCGCGATTCTTGAATCGTACGCAACACGCGCACTCGGTCGCCACACGCCTGTTTACGTTCACGTAGGAAACACCTTGGTCTCGGCACGAAAACCCAGTTAGCGAGCGAGCCGAGCTGAGCTGAGCTGACCGAGTCGAGGCGTTTGCCGCGGAGCTTCTCGAGGACGTTCCGATCGCGCGAGTTAAAATCCTCAGAAACGTCGTAGACTGATTTTATCGTGGTAACGCGAGTTTTATGCATCCTGCCGGGAGGATGACCGGGAAAAATGTCGCCTGCATACGAATACGACGGTGAGTCACGGAACTGGGACGGAATGCGTCTCTCTTCTCGCACGAGGCGAGTCGCAGTCGCGGCCGAAGAATCGTAGTGTCGTCCGTTAACTTCGACACGCATCTCGCGGGATGAACTTTGAAGCAATTGAAGGGTCTCTACTTAGCGACTTACCCTGCAGCAAAAATCCATGCAGCGCGAGGTTCATGGCTACGATATGATCGATTTCTTCAGTCTGAAAGCAAAAAGAGAGCGTCACGTGAAAACTTAGTCGTTAAAGTCGCATGTGCGACTTTTAAGAGCTTCGCTGCGAATACGCTGAATTCCGTGGAAATTCAAGCGTATTTTTAATAATCCCTTATCACCGCGTGATTACTTTCAACGCGTTAATCGCTACGATCATTTTCGTTGATTATCTTCAATCAACTGAGGATTGAACTTGACCGATGATATGATAAATAAATGCAATCCGCGACGCACATATTCGTTTCACATTTGGTTCTCTATTGGCGACACAATTAATTAATTACCATATGTTAATTAAAGAATACTAATTACAATGAATTCTAAGTTAATTTATTTACCTACATGTACATTAAGAACGTTATCAATTAATGCTGTTACGTGCCATTGGGGTCACGATTTATACACAGATCAATGAGTCGCGGCAGAATATTTACCTGCTGCTGGTCAACATGACAATTTAATAAACGATCGATGAATAACAACGAATGTACGTAATGAGAGGGGCGAGATTCGTCTCGTGGGTGTCGATCGTGGATGAGAAGGAATGCTGGAAGCTGAACGCTGGAAACGAAAGCTAACACGCTAACGTTGTTCTAACAATCAGCTCGCGCAGAACGTAAGAACGTAATAACAGAGCGCGCTAATTGCTCGGACTGCTAAATCGCTCGGAGGCGTAAAAGAATAACCGAGACAAATAAACCCGCCGTCCCGTCGTCCGTCCGCCCGCCTGCCCGCCGCCTTTGTGTGCTCTTGCGGATGGTCAGTAGCATCAAAGGACGTGTGTGACACCTACCGCCGGTAGGTCAATATTTGACTGGAAGTCGACTCGGCACGAAAGCGGCTAACGGGCGCCTAATGTTGTTGTCGCACACACACGCCGCTTTCGCACGCCGCGAATAATTAGGGAGACGCGATCGGCGAGTGCGCGCTGATCGATCGAGTGAGCGCGTCTCGAGAGCGCCGGCTAATTATGATGGCGGCTGGTAATTGGGATAGCGATTTAGGGAACTTCTTTCTCGAAGAGGCGAAAATCCACGGCGCGCGATTCGCAAATGTGTCGATCAATTCTTAAGATCTCGCGCCTGGCTCTTCATTAGACGGCGGCGATTAGGCCGGGAACTTTCCTCGCTGCATGTATAACTTTACAATGAAACTTTCGGATGATCTTGAACGATTTCATAGACGTCCATTTTGTCGCGAGCCCGCGCGACGTGATTGATGATTTGTTATTTAACATCTTAAAGCAACACCGAAAGCTGTGCCTTTTATCTCTAAGCTATGAGAATGTATATTATTATTAACGAGGATTTATCGCGACGACAGCAAGGACGGTACAAGGTGATGTTAATAGTGAATAATTTCTTTCTACGAGACAGTAACAATAACGCGGACAATACATCGCACGTGCCTGAGATTCTCGTCGATCCTATAAAGTTCACTTTACGTCGCTTTCGTCGTCAATTCCTTCGTCCGCAGCGCTCACCTTGTGTGCCGACTACGTGCGATAAATGATCAATAAGATCGCATGTGCATACGTTTGAAAGTCCATTCGGAACAATGGCCGCGTTGCAGTGAAAATAATTCAGGTCGCGCGCGACCGTTTTCGCGCGTGTAAGTGTTATAACGGTACAGAAACGACCGATGGGTTTCGCGACCCGATTTACTCCCAACGATAATCACACCATATCTCTCAAAAACAATAGAGAGAGACAGAGAGAGAGAGAGAGAGAGAGAGAGAGAGCACGATACCGTCAGAAGCTTGAAAAAAAAGACGCGCAAGGAAAAAATAAAATAAAATAAAAATAAAAGCAGAAATAATAAAAACATCGCTTCAACAAACGGAAACGGTTAAATTATTTGCGACAGAGAAAAGTGTTAATTTAAATTCAGGGCGAATTCAGAAACACATAATTATATAGTAGAGTGAAGTGAAGCTCTAGTACAACTTAAAATTTAAAATTTAAGTTAAAAATTAAAAAAAAAAGGAAAGAAGGAGAGAGTGAGAGAGAGAGAGAGAGAGAGAGAGGGAGGGGGAGTGACTCGCATTCGATTCGACAGAACGACAAGGAATCATTAATAATTTCTCACCGCCGATCTTACGCGTAATTGTCCTTTCAAATCGATCGACCCTGTCGGGCTCTGCCCGGCGATTCATAATTCTTTCCAGTTTGCGGTAATTCGCAAACGCGTTTAGAATATTCATCTCCCATTGTGCAACGCAACTTTCTCTCGGTCTCTCGCGATCGCATCCGTCGTCTATTACTTCCAGGCCGTCGAGTATTTTTTCAGAAGGTCACTTTCATCACGCGTTCGTTAGATCGTATCGTACGTTCCGCGACTTGACATATTAATGAGTGCAGCGTTAATTGTTCTTCAACTCGTACGCGACGCACGCGCTCGCTAATTCCCCGTTTCATAGATTCAAGCGCAGTGAGTGACAAAGTGATCACCAAGCGTGCGGAAAGACGAAATCAACGGGTTTCAGTAATCGATCGCAACGATCGCGAAGTCCGATCGCTGAGTTCAAACAGTCCGATATTCGGCGATCGTGCAACATGTAAGTAGCTTCAAGGTCGACTTGCACAAGTGCAACGTCCAGGGCGCGCTCTTATGCGGCTTCACGTGCACTTTATTGCGGCGTAAAGCGGTTTGAGGTTTATCGGATCTCCATTTATCATGGCGAATCGTGGCTCGCCGTTCGATAAATGGAAGCGATAGCGCGAGTCTCTCTCTCTCTCTCTCTCTCTCTCTCTCTCTCTCGTTTTCGCGCGCGCGTTCCTTCGATACGTTTATGTGGCAGTTATGAATGATCGGCGATTCAATCGTCTGACCGAATATCCGCCCAGCTTAGGCTGCGCGAAGTCGTGTATATCACGGTTTGTCAGCCGCCATCGGCATCGTCGACGCGAAATATTCATTTCGCCGGCTCAGCTAACCCTTCGCGATCGTTAAGTCGGCGAAAAATTGCTGCAGCCGATCTTCTATCGCTGGTTCTTTAACCCCGACCGTGTGTGCGTACGCGCGCCTCCAGGTGTAAATCAACGTAACGACCGAGAGCGTGCCGTTGCGGTGCCGTAAAGATGGGCCGATTGAAAATTTGAACAATGCCAGGCGGATACGCTCCTGCGACTTTTCGCACGCGATTATACAGTGAGTTTTCCACAAACAGCTTGAATTGAGTTTGATTTATACCACCAGTGGTAAATTATATATCTTCCGTAATATACGAAAGCTATTTTTATATGATGGTGTACGGTGTGCAGCTTGAGAATTATCTGAAGAATTTGTTAAAATTCGTATTTCGTAATTTCGGCTTAATTTAATTTTAGCTAAAATTCTCAGGTCAAATTCGACATATTTTCCAGTAAGATTATTTTCACTCGGACAAATTGTTTTTAGAAAAATTTTAGAAAACTCGCAACAGCGTGAATTTTATATTATTACTAATTCAAAGTAATAAATTCAGGATTTCACTTTCATCGTCATTAAATTTTGTAATTTTGCTGTACTGAATTACAGCGAATTGTTTACATGCGAGCGATGTAGCCGGTGTATTAGATCGCAGCGTGCATGCGAATGAGAGTCTGTGCGGTCTACGTGCGCGCGATTCGTAAGGCGGTCTCGCTCGGTTTCGGAGCACTTTCCTGCGCCGCGTCACTCGCGGTCGCGCTCTTGAGAGAGACGATTTTCACCTTACGTAAAACCGGCACATCGCCGGCACGGCCCGGCCGTGGCGTGGCTCGTTTCCACGGCGCACGACTTTCCCCGATTTCGTATCGCCCGCATTACTCCCGTGCATTGATATCGAAGACGATCAGCCGGCCACGCCTTTGGCCAGACTGGACTTCGCGGTCGATCGGGTCTCGCGAGATCTTGCTCTCGTTTGCACGCAGGATGATCCAAATATTCGGTCCGTAGCAACGTTGTTGAAATTATCAGTACGATATGGGGGAACTTACATAGTTACATTAAATGTTTTCAAATCTGATATGATATCATCCGATGTCAAAGCCGTGTTTATTTATTAATAATAATGAGATGGCACGTATCTTAAGAGGACTGGGGTGTCAGATTACTGAAAAATCGTGCTTGTTTTTGATAATATTTTGTGACGAACTGAATAAATGTGAGAGAATGAAAATTTTAGATATATTTATATAATATATGAGAAGTAGAAAAATTTTGTTTATTAACAAATACTCATATAAATATATGTCCGTTTAAATTTTAAACGCTTTTCTCTCGAAATTTTATTGTTCAACTTTTTGCAGTGATTTCTCCGAAACTGAGCTTCGTATCGATTTGAAATTTTAAAGCGATAATATTTGTTCATCTGGCTCTCAGATGAACCATGGGTAATTACGTCAAAATATTTCATTTCGAGATATTAATTTTTTTATTGTAAAAGAATTGAAAATTTTGGATTTTTTTCCTAATAATAGCTGTCATTTTGTTAATTTTGTTCGATTTCTTTTTGTAGTGGTTCACCGGATAATGATAAACCTCCTCAAGATTTTTAGCTAAAATTCGCTCTGATCGAACCATCGAGAGCCGAGATATTACTGCAGAAACGACAACTTGAAAAAAAGAAGAGTATATTTCAGCTATATATATCATATATGTACATGATTATTTGTTAATAAACAAAATTCTTATACTCTTCATATGTTGTATAAATATATCTAAAATTTTCATTTCTGCACATTTACTCAGTTCGTCACAAAATATTATCAAAAACAAGCACGCAATTTTTCAGCAATCTGACTCTCCAGTCCCCTTAATGAAATATTTTAATGAAGGTGTTGACCGCTGCCGTCAATGATCTTTTGCCATTTTTGGGGGCGATGGTCTGATTCCTCGTCGATAAAATAATTTATCTTTTTAGGCTATCCACTGATCGACCGGTTTTCGCATTTTCTCGCATCGATCTGGATAAATGAAAATCGGATTGAACGATGTCTGGAGAGTACGCTGGGTGCGGTAGGACTT